CTAAGGGTCCAAGTACCCAATAATTAGGTCCCCCCCCTTAAGGATGTATAGGGATCCGTAGGGTTTAGGGTTTAGGGTTTGGGGTTTAGGGTTTAGTGTTAGGGTCCAAGTACCCAATAATTAGGTACTTGGGTTGGGATATAATAGGAATTCTAGTATAGGTTTGGGTAAGTATATGATTATTGAGTACTTGGACCCTTAGGGTTTGTTTCCAGCTTGATATTTGGTAACGTCCCAAAGTAAGGGGACCCCAATATAGACCCTAATCTATTATAATCCTTATTCTGGGGACCCCCCTACATGGTAACCCTAATATACTATAATCCTTGTTCTGGAGACACCCCCCCCCCCATGGTACCCCTAATTTTGGAACCCCTAAACCCCAAACCCCAAGTAATAGTTTCCATGTTCTTTTCCATTATCCCTAAATAACCCCTAAACAACCCCTATGTAACCCTTTCTAATCCTTATTATGGGGACCCCCTACATGGCACCCCTAATTTTGGGAAATCCACCATATTTGTTGCGCCGGCTCCGCGGAGAGCCATGGTAAAGGGGGGTTAGGGTTTAGGGCTTCGGGCTAAGCTTAAGTTGCGCAGAGTAGCGGGCCTATGCATTTGTTAAATGTAAGAATGCACTTTTGGCTCTGCCGTCGATGACACGGAGACATCAAATGTTACATGGACTGCTCTATTTCTTGCCTCAGAATCCCACTCATGGTCCTTGCACCTGCAAAAGGGTATGTACACTACAATTGTATAATTATACGGAGAGCTGAGGACCGCAATGTTGATCCTCATTTAGGCACCTACATAACTTATGCTGGAGATTCGAGTTGCCAAACAATCCCTTGATCCGGGCTGGTAGAGGGTGATGCTGCTTCTCGCTCCAGTCTAGAATCCCACCATTGCCATCGCATCTCTCATAATCCATAGGTGTTGCCTGTCTCACTGCTGACGCGAACAACCCTGAACCCGCAACCCAAATATTACAGCGTGTTGTAACACTTGCGACTGCAACCTTTCTACTATTCACGGTATGGAGTCTTTAAGCCCTATACCCTAGCCTAAACCGTAAATCCTAACCGCGTGGGGCGTGGGGAATTTTTGGTGGCAGCCACAGCTTACGGGTAGAAGACTCCTGCACTGCAGGGTCTGGGATATAAGGGTTAAAGGTTTAGGCTATAAGGGTTTGGGGTGTGGGGTTTCGGTCAAGGGTTTAGGGTTTAGAGGATTAGGGTTTATGCCCAGGTGTGAGGCCTGGGATTCTTGGACGTACCCGGACTCTGACCTCTGTCATTTCTACTTGGGGCGTAGGGTACAAGGGGGCCGTGGGGCTTAGCTATACCCCTAAAACGAGACTGTGGCATATGCATTTATAAGCATTTGAAATTTTGCCAAAGAAATCCAAATAGCCCAAAAAAGGTAACAAGCACTTGAAGTTTTCCTCAAGAGATCGAAAAAGTCCATAATAGGTACCACTTATAGACTTTAGGGCCCAGTGTAGCTATTGGTTGTGGACGTAAAGACAGAGAACTAGCCCGGGTATATTCTACCCTCTCCCAAACGTAACATGTGAAACTCTCGCAAAGTGGCTTGTACAGGGTTTATACAGGCAGTATATAAGCACGTATACTAATTACTAATGTAAAGGGTTCAGGGTTTGAGGTGGTTTAGGGTTTAGGGGTTGAGAAGTGTGTATATATATATATATATCCCCAACAAGAGGGGTCCCGTAAAAACAACAATCTCTCTAAAAGCAGGTGATGTGATAGCTGGTCAAAGTTGTGGTGCCTTCTGGGGGCCAGTGTTCCAAGAACCCTCATCCTAACCCATAAATCCTAAACCCCAAAACCCCTCAATCCCAAAAATCCCTAAATGCTCAACCCGAGCGCTTCATTTCTGTACAGCCGCGGGTTTTGACAACCTACCACTTTTGATTCGATGGTAGTTTGGGGGGCAGCCTATAGGTGGTTGTATCACGAAACGTTTAGGGTTTATGGTTATCTACAATGGCAACTACCATGAAGGGAGATGCCGTTCAAACCTGGTTATAACTTGGGTGCTATCCTACCTAGATTGGTATCAACCTCCCTAATCAAAGCCCCCTGCCCCCTCCTCTAATATTTGATCTTCCCTGTACATCCACTATCAAGGATGGGATGTTTCAGACCAATTGTAAACCTGGTTTCAGCTCCCTAAAACCTAAATCCTAAACCTACCCAGATTCCAAACTTTAAATCCTAAACACCAGGACTCGAGGTTCCCCTCAGTATTCTTTTGCTCTCTCGAGCGCCCTAGAACCTTAACCCCAAACCCTAAGCCCGAATTTTGGAAACACCTATTTAGCGGGACGAGCGCGTAGCCGGGCAGCGGCTGCCGCGCGCCAAGGTTTAGGGTTTTAGGGGTTTAGGGTTTTGGGGTTTTGGGGTTTAGGGTTTTGGGTTTTAGGGTTTTGAGGTTTAGGATTTGGGGTTTAGGGGTTCAGGGTTTGGGGTCCCTACAATTAGGATTAAAGCGTATCGGGGTCTATCTTGGGCCCCCGTATTCAGTGAAATTACCAAGCACTGAGGGTACCCAAAAGATACCCGAAATAATGCCCCATACTGTGACAACCTGACATGTGGCCTCCGTATCCTCTGATATAGATCGTCGCCCAAAGCTGCCAAGCCCTTCACCCTCAACCCTCAACCCTAAAACCCCAGACGCTAAATTCTAAATAAGGGCTATGTAAGCTGCATCAGGCTACACCCTCAGGGGGACTTAGTAAATAGGTTAATTTGGGGGATAACTGGGTTTGCTATATTATATGGGTTACAGGGGTTATTACCCTAAACACTAAACCCTGAAGCCTGAACCCTAAACCTACTTACTAAGCCTCCATGACCCTACAAGTAGGGTATGCCACAGCCCTCCTCGAACTTACCTGAGATACTTGGAAGACCCTGGGGCTCTATAACTACTTGGAAATGAGCTGATGACCCTACCCTTAAGGCTTTAAGGACTCATATTTTGAGGTTTGGGGGGCCCAAAAGCCATACTATTAAAGGGTGTTGGGCTATCTTGTGCCTGGGATGAACTGGGTTGCTGCTAAGAAACCTAAATCTAGTTACCATAACGCGTACATATATAAGATAATTTACAGGGCTTCCTCAATATAGTAAGTCTAGTTCTTTAACAGCAACCCATTAAACCCATGTAAGCTCACCTAGGGGCATTCTAAGCAGGGCTACAAGCCCAGTTGTCAGTGGTTACTAAGTCCCCTGAACCGCTAGGTAAGGCTTGCCTTTCTGATACAGCCTCCACCCACAGACAATCCTCAGTAAGGTAGCGCATGAAGGGTTTCATGTACTACGAATATACCATTGCCCTGTTAGTCAGAGGGGGCAGTACTCAACATGTACTTGGATGATCTTCTGACTTAATGCATCTATCTACAGTCCCCAATAACCCCAACCATGAGCCCAATGGCCCTGTTACTAAGTAGACTAAGTAGACTAAGTAGACTTGCTAAGTCAACAGATCCTCCAGGTATGTGTCGCACACGAACCACAGTAGACCTTCCCGGAAACCAGCACACGGAACCTCTATGTACCCAAAGGCTCGCAAGTACCTAATTATATGAACTATACTATAGTCTAAACTCCTTAAGCAGGATTATATAGGGGATTATGTAGGGGAGAATTATAGGGCTTATTAATGGGGACACTTGGAGTTTACACTATAGCTCATATGGAGGTTGTCCAATATTCCTTCATCTCGAGTTAGGGGCTTGCGCCGTGCTTGCGCGGAACTTGCGTGAGCTTGCTCGCGCACAGTTTGGCTCACAGTGGTTTTCTCGCGGGCTCATCGCACTAAAGCTAACGCCATGAGCCTTTTCGAACCCTTCCGCCAACCTTGCGCCGCGCTTGCGCGGAGCTTGCGCGCGCAGGGTTTTGATAAATTATGTTATACTTGGTTTTCGTTTATATAAGTCGTAGACAAGGGTTTTCGGACAACCCCCATATGGATGTGTAGAGTATATCGGTATATCATACATTTGAAAAAAAATAAAGGGAGATCATGATCCTGACGTTTGACACTTGGACCTGTGTTCAAAGCTCAGTGCATCAAGCAGGTCAGCACGAGCCCCCACTGGCCCCACATACGCATGAGTGCATCTTGTGCCAAATACTAGTATGGGCGTATGACAATTATGGAGGAGACAATACTAATAATTGAACATAACATTTGAGCAAGGAGAAGCCCTGAAAGGTTCCTAACTGGGTAGTTTCCCTAAATCCCGGACGCCAATATAGACCCTAAGATACTGAAATCCCTAGTGTAGGGATCCCCAAAACATCCACCAAAAATGGTACCCCTACTTTCGGAAAAACGCCCCATATACATCCATACCACAAGGTGCTTGTGAACTATAGTCTGAATTCCTAGTATCTCCCTTCATAACCCTTATAATACTCCCCTATATAACTGCCTATATACCTTTCAGGAGTTCAGACTTTTGCTCATGTGTTTGCACAGATGTCTTGCATACCAGGCCTCCTGAGATCGCCATGAACAGCGTCAACATACTTCCTGTCAGAAGCCCAGCTGATGCAGCCCAATTGAAATAATCAGAATCAATACTAGCAATACTAGCACTAATAGATAGTAGTAGAAATAGGAAAATTAATAATTCAGACAATTCTAATCAATATTAATGATGTTAACAGCAACCGTCAACCATCGGCTTATTTGGTGCCAACGTTCTTGCTCAATGCAAGGGGCATCTCTGAAAACTGGAAAAACGGCACCGAAATAGGGCGTGCTACCCATCCGCTCTAGTCAAACGACAAGCAGCAGGCATGCCAGAATGCTTCTGTGAGGGCCCTACCATGCTGCCACCGCTTAACCGCAAAATTGATTTGATTACGCTGGCTGTTCTTGAATGTCCTACTTCAAAGGATCGTTGCTCTCCCTTGTGAGATCTTGTGAGTGTAGTCTGGCCCACAGCTGAGGCACTGCCCAAAGAACCGTAGTACTTGGCCACATCAACTGCGCCGCTACCATCTTCGCTCTTGAGATGAGCGTAGGCCAGCTGCATCAGGGTGACGCCGAAAATAAACCTCGAGTCGCTTACAGAATTAGATTTACATAAGTGGTTCGTGAAATGTCCAAGCAGGCCTGGCTGCCCAAGATAAAGGTTCTCTGTCATGGATTTGGACTGACTCCTAGCTTTGCTGCAAGGTCTGAGGTGCATTGCAAGGAACATAACAATGGCCAGCAGCATCAGAGCCCAGAACAGCACTCGCACAGACCTTGACACCAAGAGCATGCTTTCCACCAACTGTTGCTGCCACTTTTGCAGAACAGTCGCCCGGCAATCCCGTTCACCTGGCTTGCTCTTGGAATGCGGGCGCATGTCGGTGTGATTCGGCCCTCTTCTACCACAAACTGAGTTGTGACAGCTGCTGCCAGCTACAGACCAGGGGCCATGATTCGCAGGTCGCTGCAGAAACGAACCACTCGCCTTGCCAACAGGCATGTCCAGCGCAACTCAAATGGGTTGCAGAGATTCTGCTTGAGAAGTCTTCTGCAGACAAGCTACAGTAATCTCAGCACACGCACCAAGCGTATCATCCGAAGAAGCCGGAACTGCGACAGTTCCATGGTAAAGCCTGCATGCGCAGCACTGGCATCCACTTAAGGCATCTGAGGCCTAGTCCAGGCTTACCTGTGCCTGCGCAAGCTGTGCTTCCATCTGTCCATTATAGATTTCACGAATTACATTCATTTCACGTAAAGAGCTCAAACCTGAGTGATTTGTCCCTGCATCTTCTAAGGTGGGCGAATGTGAAACAGGGTCGGACATTTGCGAGAATGCTGCGCCGCACCTAGCAGCACAATCGCCTCATCTGCAGTTGATACGGCCTCAGCAGCTTTCTTTTCAGTGGATCAGAACTGAGCTAACTGAGCCAAGGATCCTTCCACGGTACATGGCTGCGGCGGCAAAATCTCCTGTCCAGCCAAGCTGCAACGAAAAAGGTGTCTGTCCAGTTCCACCCACACCTCGGCAGTTTGAGTTCTCCGCAACAATCTAAAGTGATAGGTAGGCACAGGCATCACGACCCAATAGCCCACTTCAATCACTGCTGTTTACAAAAACAAAGCAGCGTAATGGACATAATGCACCAAGGCTTTGGTCCAGTGGACAGTCATCAGAACTGGCATCTGAAATTTGGAGATGAAAAGAGTCCAAAGCTCAACGCTCTTGAAACCCAACTGGCCATAACTGGTTAATGCACGGCAGACGTGATACTCTGTCACAGGGATCGCGCCATTTCCGACAAGCCACTCAGGGTTGTCCAGGCTGAAGAACATCCTTCCGTCGGCAAAGATGCGGAGTACAAGCTCCAGAATGAAGGCCACACACCACAGGATGTCGAAGACACGAAAAATCACCTGAATGGTTGTGGTCTCAAGTTCCAGTTATGCGTAGAAAATGTGTGTCCCGTGATTCATGCAATCCAGCGTAGCGTAGCCATGTGCATTCGGTCCAGCACAATAATCACAAGCCCGGTGTGCAACTGAAAGGCATGTGTGTCCTTGGCTGCGGAATGCTACCAGGCAAAAGTAGTTCAGCAGAGGATCATTCAGATGAGGAGGTTCTCTTGCTTTGAGGGAATCACACAGAATCAGATACGAGAAAAACACAGCCCGGTAGCCCGTCACACTCCTAACCATCCCTCACAGATGTCTGTGCAACGCTCCTGCGAGCGACTGCTTTATCACTCAAACAGTACAGGCCAGCCCCACCCCTGTGCTGGTATCATCATACTGCGACGGTCGCATCTACTGCTGCGAGATGTTGAGACAGAGAAATGCTGACAATCCCGCGACCGAGCAGGAAAGCAAGGCAGTGTGGCCTGAGCTCCTGCAAAAAGCTACTTCCGCTTGGGGGTTTACGACTTTACTCCTGCACCAGAAGAAGCCTAGGTGCGGCGTGGATGTCCTGCATAGCCATATGCGTTTCCATGCCCAGAGTTGCAGAAGATGCCAGGAGAGTTACCATCACCAGCAGCTCAAAACGCGCGTTGCGTACCACGCTGTGGACGATGCCTCAGCAATTTGGAGCCTTGCAAATCCCAACTGAATGAGACCGGCGCTTCTTTCATACCTGCACTTCGCGTGCACTGTACGCAAACGTGGTCCTGCCGGTCCAAGGACGCGTCCACAAGGAGTCAACCTTCCCCTGTTCATAAGCTCCATGAATAGAACTCATGACAGGGATTTCAAATGACAGGGATTTCAATTGTCCAACAACAGCTTGTGGTGGAAAAGGCGGGGATGGTGTTACCTTGTTGGGGGCTTGAGATCCCGCAACGTCTTACTTGCTTTCAGCTGATTGAGATGGGTTTAGACCTAATTCCGTCGCTTCTGAGGCTATGCCTCCTGGTTAAAACAGTATCGAGCTCGATTGAGCTTTAAATATTGCTAGGGCAGGACGAGGCTTATATCCAGAAGCCTCAACTGATGTGCATTCGGCCGTCGGCTTACCCCACATGCCTGTGCCCCGAGTGCAAACCAGATAGCAAAGCTGCGTCTGTACCACGGCAGCTCTGATTCCTGGGCAAGGGCACTTTTCACGAGACTTCTGAAGAGTCATAATGGACTAAGATGACGCAGTCAACGCCGGCTGAGTGATCTGCGTTGGCTACTGCCCAGTGACTGTATTTGAGGCTTATAGGTAAGACATCACTTGCTTTGCGCTTTGCATGTGGGATAGATGCGGCCTGCGGGCTTGGCTTCAAGGAAAATCGTGTCATTGGACACCGCTGTCAGAATGCAGGCGAGGCACATTCAGGTGATATGTTGTCACAGACTTTGCCAGCTTGATGGGAGTACCAGCACCTAACTTCGCCGAGCTCGTTCGCACAAAATACACAACCCGGATGTTCCAGCGCAGCGTTCAAAATGACCCTGACCAGTAAATGCAGCCAGGAAGCCTTTTGGTTGGCTTGGGCTCCTCAGCGCACTTGACATGGACAACTGCCAAATGCTCGAGCTGAAAAGAAACAAGTGGTTATCGACGGAATCATTTGAATATCTCCAAGGCTCAGAGCGGTGCTCTTGGAGAACGATACTTTGAGCTTTGCAGGTATATCTCTCCATGACTGCAGTCTCGACGACTCCTGCAATACATCTCAGTGGTCCTCCCATATTGATATACACAGCCTCACTCTTCACAAGGGCTGCAATCTTGAGAGACCTCCATGCTGTTAGTATTATTAAGTACGGGATGCATGACTGGACGGCTTGCTGGGTGTGCTCCAATCAGACGAATACAGCGCTTTCAACACTACACAGCTCACACGCACACACTTCACAACAGCCGGAGGTAGCACCCGCGACATCGCCAAGAGTAAGTACGATGAACCGTCCGAATGACAACTCCACTGTCCGAACGACAATTCCAGAATGCAAACCCCAATGGTCATGAGCATGTCAGCTTAAGGAAACCACACCCGAGTCACAAAACTACGCTAGAAAACACTAGCCGTACTTCATGATGTTAAGCTGCTCCCTACATGGGCCTGCAGCAAGTTGCAGCATGATCCGCCACACTACCCCATATGCAAACAGGGCAGGAGCTGGGCCTCTCGAGTCTCGACTTTGCTCAAGCTTGGCCTGCTGTCGATGTCTCTCGACACCAGGCAGGGGCCACCCCCCCCTCCGTTTACACATATGAATATACACACACACATATATATATATATATGCGTGCATATATCATGGGGCCAAAATGTATAGCTCTCATTTCCTACATTCCCCAAATCAACTACCCTAAGATTGAGACTGCTGCTCATAGCATGAGCCAATAATTCAGCGACGACGCTGGAGGTTATTAGCAGCTCCAAAGACAAACTGTATACGTCCAGCAAGTGTGGTCACCATCGCAAACATATCCGTTCAATGAAAGTGGATACCCTAGGTATGCTGTGCATGGAGGGGATCTGGCCAAGGTCTGCTGACTGTTCCAAGCAGAGGTCCTTGTGCTATCCCTCCAAACTGAACAAGGGCTGCGTCACAACGCCTACAGAGTTTCTGGCAATTCATTGCATGAGCGAGTTCTGGCGTGCACAATAGCAATACCTGAATCCGGTTTGCAATAGCAGTGAAGCTGCTGGATCGCATAAGACAAGCGTCAGCTTCCGCACCGACGACTCAGCTGCAGGAATCATGGCATTTTGCCGGAGACCTTGAGCTTTGGTCTTGGGAGTTCATCACTGTTTATGCTTCCTGGACTGACCAGCAGACATGCCACCTCATGACAATTCTTGAATGCAAGCTCCTGAGGTCTTAGACTCTGCAACGCCCACCCAATCAAGGCTTGCGACTGTTGCCGGTTGTCGGAGGATGAGGCGGTGGAGGAGGACCTGTGTCTGCACATCTTTGGTATCACCATGGTCCACCACATGAGAAGCCCATAATTGAAGCCTTTCCCGCGACTTCTTCTGCTGGAAATTCATTACTGGTCATGATGAGGGCTTGGCGGCATGACCTGCCTACTTGTTAGTGGTCGCCCCAAGCGGGCGTAATCCCTGTTGATCAAGCTTAGCTTCCTCTTGGGCATCCACTGCTTTTGGCAGTCTGACATACCTTGAAGCAAGCCCTCCAAAAAAGAGGACAAGCTTTCTGACCCCAACATCGTGATGTTCCACTCCAAGTTACATTCATCTCTCAATGGGAGACTATTCCAAATCGAGACTATCCCGCCATGCAAGCGTTAATTGCACTTAAGTGGAATGTTACCGGCCCCTTTCCAGTGAAGATGTCAAGCCATTTCGATCTAGAACCAAAACCGCAACGAGGAATTCCGATTCCGGAAGCAGAAAGCAAATCTCCGCAGAGCGTCTCGTCAACATGTGCCATGAATCCCTCCAGTACCCTGGGCTGCGCACCTTTTTGGAAGAACTCTGTCAAGACTCAGCACTACAATCCACAGTTGAGCCCAAGCACATTCCGTCGCCACGCGGGTTGGGATAAGGACGTCCTGTCAAACAGCACATGCCAACCCAATCAGAAGCATTTTGCATGTTGGCGCCCAGGGATGCTGTGGCTGACTTTCGTGGGGATTTGGCAATGGCAGGTTCAGCTATAAAGATTGCCCAGCTCAAGTTTGTCGAGATGCTGAGATTGCAAAGTTACTGGCGAGGGCCCATGCCTAGCTCGATGCTGGCTTCCAGCCTTGGCTATCGTCCCGCAGCCCAGCTATACCAACTATATCCGCGCGATGCCCACAAATGCATGCAGCGCAGTGGGTTACCCTACTGTCAACGGGTCGCGTCTACAGCACGCGCACGCAAGCTGCAAATGCTCTTTGCGATGTTATTCAGTTTGGCTTCAGGTTGTCCACCATCCGCTGTTGTCGGTTTTCAGGCCACCTACCAGTACAGGAGACACCTGGGCTTGCAAAGCACTAGCTAAACCAAGGGTACAGCTTTCCTGCATTGCGGTAATATGGGGGTTATATTGGGATAATGGAAAAGAAAATGGAAACTACTATAATGAGTTATATAGGGATTATAGGGATAATGGAAAAGAAAATGGAAACCAATATAGTATAATAGGGTTTATATTGGGGTTTAGGGATTATGTCGGGATTATATAGGGGTTTTAGAGGGCTTATAGGTAGATATTGCAGTACCGTAGCACCAGATTTAACTTGAGGGGCTATTGTCATAGGGATTTAGGGTTGTAGGGGTTATATAGGATTATATGGGGCTATGTAGGAGTTATAGTGCTCTATCGGGTTTAGGTTTGATGGTCTTCCCCCAATACTAGACAATCAAATGGAAAATGAAACGGAAACTGAGGGTATATAGGGGAAATCCTTATCATGGCTAGCCGAGGCCAATGAAGGCTGGCCAGGCTCCCCCCTGTGTAGTTCAGAGTCTTCACTACCTGGCACGGTCATGGTACAATAACGTTGATGCTTGGTTGTTGCATCAAGCCTGCCTGCTCCCCGTATGTTCTTTGCACTCATGATCATGGTTGCGCAGACCTCCCTACTCCCTCTGGAGGTTTTGTTGCGAGTGCCCCGCATATTCGTACCATGGCCAGGCCATGCAACCGTATTGACCACGACAAAAGCAGTGGGGAGGCTGGATGAGACCACCCAGCATGGTGTTACTCGCCACTGCGGCGACACAGGGGTAGTGCACAATACAGAAGGAGGATGCAGGTTATTTAGTGCAACCTCCAAGCATGATGTTGCCCGCGCCATGACCACAAAAAGGTTTAGGAGGAGCTGCGCGACACCTTCAACTACAGTTTGGGGGGTACATGTGGGACAAGCCCCCAGCCCATTGTAGGATCAGGCATCTTGCCACAAGTAGCTTGTAATGTTCAGTCCTCGGAGTTGACAAAGCCGGGTTGGTCAAGCGGACCCCCATGCAAAT